GCTTCTCAAATTCTTAAGTAGTGATCTTTGGAGATTTGTTTTAAAATCAAGTAAGCTTTACTGATACTGATTTAAGCACCAGCCCCCAAAAAATATTCTCCATCTAACCTTCACAAAATTATTTTACCCTACAAAGGAACTCAGTTTCTATAATGGCTCAGAAACCTCTGCATTAACATTAGCAAAGCTTGTTATGGGTAACCCAGTTTCTACATTAACTGGGATTTTGTATCAAAAAACAATTCAAAGTAAAATGTTTATAAAAACAAAGAAGGTGCAATGCAGCAGGAAAACAAGTTTTCTTTTGGATGGGGTATATTATGTCTAATCCATCTTCTATATTTGCCACTCAATATGATTTTTCTTTAAACGCATAAGGTCTTCCAGGAGAGTGAAGCAAATACTACACCTCTGGTAGAAGACAAAAAGCATGCAAGCTTAAACATTTGTCCAAACAAATGGGGAAAATGTTATTGCAAAGTTCAGGTTTTGAAAACAGACCTGCATGTTTAAAAAAATTGCCAAGAGATACTTAAAGTTTGTCACACAGTAACTTAGGCAAGAATATATAACTGCATCTGTATGCTACATATTCAATGAATGAAAACAAAATATATGGGAAGTATGAACAGATACTCAGTTGAAAATTCAGCCTCTTCATTTAATTACAAAAATAGGAAAAACCTGTCCATATTCATTAAAATCAGAAATTTATAAGAACTAATATAGGCTAGGTAACTCATACTTTTCAGGACAAGTCTGTTCACATCTCAAAATTATTAGGTTTTCGTCTGAGAAGAATTGGTTAGAAATTTTCTATGAATTAAATAATTTTTTTCCAAAAACCAGCATTTGAAAAAGGAAAATTTTAATTTTTATGTAGTTGATCTATTTGATTTTCAGTTTGTATAGGATATATATCTAATCTCTTTTGTTATGCAAAATTTTGATTAATTCCTTGAGGTAGACTACAACAAAACAAAACCAAGCTGAGAATTAAAATAAAAAATAAAAAAGGAGATTTTGTGAAGTATTAAATTATCTTTTAAACACTGACAGGTACATCATGGTAAAGTCCTCATATGAAATATAAAAAATTCTCAAACTAGATAGAACACAAGAAAGTATAATAAATAATCTAATACTTTACCCTAATACTGTCTTCAGGCTTGTTAAAGGAAATTATCTCTCACATAAGCTAATACACTAGGCTAATATCAGACTTTATAAAAAGAACAGTCTTGTAGAAAGTATTTTATTAAAAAAATCATAATGAAATATTGAATGCTTCAAGAATACAATATTTGATTCAATATTTGTTCCTGTGAAGACTGTGTTAGAATGTCAAAGGAAAAACAGTGGAGCATGTTTATATAAATGATTTCTCTTTGACTAGTAAATCCTGAGAGCAGGATTGCAGCTGTGATCCTATTAATATCCCTTAGCAGAAAATTCAATATTTGATAGAAATTGAAAATATTGGGAAAAAAGGGGGGGCATACAAATAGTAGAAGCTATTTGATAAATATTTAATAGTTCTGTGCAAGAATGTTGCACAGTGCCTTAAGTGTCATTAGATTTTTATATTTCTGAGAGGCCTTCACTTATACCTCAGTAGCCCACCTTTCATTTGCAGCATTACTGCCGTGGCACTCTATTTTCCCATCCACTGTTGCAGCATTTTTCCCTTGTTCTCATGGTCTTGGACCTGAAAATCATTACTTTTATTATTGTGGGCTCTCCTGGGAAGTGCCTGTCACTGGCATCAGAAAGCCTTTCCTTTCCCCAGTTTCAAGCACAAAAAAAACTGATTTACATTAGGGGACCTAATAATGTGTATGCACACACCTTAATCAGCTGCTGGCATGTAAGCAGCTGCTCCTAAGAGGGGTGAAGTCCAGCCATCAAGAACAATACCATAAGTAAGTATATATAGGTATGTATAAGGAGACTGATCAGGTAGTCACAAATCTGTAGAAAATTATATACTTTTTCCTTATATTGGAATGAGACTTTTGCTCCATGTAACTTAGAACTATAGAGTTTTTAGTCCTTATCCACAATTATTACAAATGTTTCTTACTAGCCAGAGCCTAGCTGTGTCTAAATAACTCTCACTATGTGAATTCCACCTTTACTTTGACTGATAGGGAAACCTGAGTTTGTCTGTGTCTGTGTGCATATTGTGTGGGCTGTAACTGATTCAAGTTTTAATATAGTTTTAATAGAATACTCTTAGGAGGACTGAGCTTTAACAATCAAGTCAGTTTATGCCTGCAAGTCTTGTGTCTTATGGAAATGGATAATATACCTAAGGCACACTGTTGTAATACATTATCTACAGAACCTGAAGAAATTTTTAGTTAAGAGTATTATTCAACTGTGCAAAATGGTTCCAAGCCCTGAAAGCATGTCACACTGAAAGAAATCAAGCAGAGAGTTTTGCTGGCACGAACACTTCATGTTAAATACTAGGCTGTCTGGAAAACAAGTATAGTATATTCAGTACTACTGTGGGCACATATCCTGACTATTAAGATTATAGATCCAGGAGACACTGGTGTATTGTGAATGAATACAGGTCAGCTTTAATGTATAAAAATACAAATGAATAAAAAGTAAAAATGTAACTCAAGTTACAGTTATGAGGAGAGCATACAGGAAAATAAACCCACAAAAAATATAACCAAGAGATATAGTCATGAGATCAGGTTAAATTTCCAACTTTTTTTCCTTCATTTAAGAATATTGTCACTAGAGGCTTTCCAGTTCTTTAACTTCCATTTCTCATTAAAATAATTGGCACTGAAACCTTTGACTAGAATTTTAATACTATAATTTGCAAATGACGTCTGCAAACTGTACTGTTTTAACATTCTAAATGTACTCTTATTAGATTTAATGGTCTTTCTTATTCACCTGTATTTTCAAGTTTTTCAGTTAAAAGAGCCATTTAAAAATTATCAGTTTCCTGCATCTCAGAATCAAATACAGAAAAAAATTATTTTCGTGCTTTCTTTTAAACAGACACTTGACACCCATTATCTTCTTTCACACAAAGTTTACACAAATTTTTATTATTGATGAGGAAAAAGGATCATTGATTGTGAACAGTAGACAGAAAATTTTTATAGTGTTGATTGTTTGATAGCACTTTGTGTGTGCTTGAGCTGCTGTGCCCATTGCATGCAATTTTTTTAATATTCTATAGGTGTCCTGCCTTAAAAAAATAAGGAAGTCAATGAAGCACTCTTGGCTTCTATTATAGAATATACAACTTCAGTTTGAATTAATGTAAAATTTTATTTATGAATTTAACACTTTAACCTGAATAATTAGCCAAGAGTGGTCTCCACATCCTTGGCCTCACTTCAGGTGCTGACTTCAAATCTACTCATGCTGTTCCTCCCAGCAGTTAGCACTTAGTCCCTGCAGCACCCCTCCACACAAACAGGATGGGAATTCAGATTGCACAGGCAGATACCTAGGGATAAGAATAAAGGACAGACTGAAACCAGGCATGGCTCAGTGGAACAAACTAGCCTAATTTTCAGACCATCAGCTTCTTTTATACCCCCTTCTGTCTATTCCTATGTTGCTTCTTCCCAATCTGCTTCCACTGCACATTGTGCCATCAGTTTACATAGCTCCAAGATACTCCATATGCCCCCATACCTGTGACTCTCAGATCCATGTCCCCATCACTTTTTAATGGCCTTTTTCAAGGTACCCCTGCAGTTTCTTGACAGCCCAACAGTTATTGTCATGGTGTAGCTTTACCTTTAAGACAGCTTAGAAAGAGAGGAAGTTAGAGCTGCTAGTGGCTGATGGGAGTTTTTCCTCCTGACCAATTATCAGTCATTTCCAAGAATTGACAGCAGATCTGACCATTAAAAAGTGAATTCAACTTGTAAACACCCCCTTAAGAAGTACAGACAGCGTTCTCTTGCCCTCTTTGGTTTCCGGCTTTTGACAAGGTAACAAGGTGTGTCCCGGCCTCCTTCCCCCCCTCCAGGCCGACAAGGCCGCAGGGAGTGGGGGGGAGAGAAGCAGAGTCGGTCAGCTGAGCTTAGTTTTCAGTTTCTGCTGCTGGACTGAAACCTGACACTATGAACTCTTGCAGCTTTCTAAAGTTTTTGATTCTTTTACTACTTGGATAAATGAACAGATTACTCCTTTTTCTCAGAAAAGACAGAGAACGAGAGAGACAATCAACATGCAAAAAACATCATAGAACCACTAAAAACAGTGAGAGAAAGAGTTAAGTTTAAATAAGAAAGAATAAGGAGATGCGTACAGCTGAAATATCTTTTTGTAAAAACTATGGAGATGGGTAATAGTAGTTCAAAAGACTCCTTTAATTCATGACTAGAGTATGGGAGGAATAAAGTATTCAAAGTGTGGACTTTTTAAAAAAAGAGAGAGTAATTGTGATACTGTGAGTTGCTGGAGATGGGTAGAGTGAAGATTTTTTGAAGCCTTGAAGAGCAAAGCAAAAGCTGTTTTCCAGGAAGGCTCACAGAGACAGATGAAGAAGACCTCTGCCTTTGAATAACTCATCCTTAAACTAGTATCCCTAGACTCATTTGACCCATGCACACCTCGGAATGATGTGGAATGGGAGGAGTGAACTCTAAAAACTCCATAGATCGGCAAAAAGAGACTTCTGTTTCTCTACAAAGAATGAAAGAAAGACTCTAGAAAAAATTGAGACTGTTTTTGACCACCAAAGTTCTAAAGTTTTTTTTTGTCTCTATGTTATCATGTGTACAAAAGAATAGTTAAGTGGTGAGAGATAAAAGAGTTTTCTGGAAGTTTATTCTAGTGTTCTTATTCTTGTAGTTTGTTAATAAACTGTTTCTATTCCTTTTAAGTTTTAAGCCTGTTTTGCTCTTGTTCAAATCCATATCTCACAGAAAGAAATAGTAATTTTTTACTTACTGGTTTTAAACCACAACAATTTTATTGCTTTCTTGTCATTCTATCTGCTGCTGTTTTTCAGGTCTGCATTTCTGAAATTTCTCTTTAATTGTCTTCCCCCCTCTCATAGCATCCCATTTCAACAAGGGATTCATCAGGTAATCCTACTGAAATACACACTATCACATTCCACATATACTTACCGAATCCACTCTTTTGACTATTACTGTATGAAAGTACATTCAACTTCTCCCTGATTTTTAGCACAAATTTAAAGATGTATCCTCTATGAAACCCATGGTTACCTACAGATACAAGAGGAGATTCTTAGGAACAAGTGAATCAGTGGGTGGAAATTAACCTGCAAGGGAGCTCTCCACTTCATGAAGCATCTGTTTTCTGAGTAAGTATAGACTGTCTTTTTTGGTTGTACTGAATTGGTATTGTATTTTTCTTGCTACTGGGGAGATGCAAGCACTCAGCAGTTCACAAAGCAAAACTCTGCTATCACCTAAAAGCTGACAGCAAAGCTATATTTGAGGGTTTATTGAAGTAAAATTAACTTATCCGGAAAGCAAAAAAGTATTTCGGCAGCAAAACATAGGTGAATAAATTTCATGGAATAAAAGTCAATTTTAAAGATGTTAAGTTTATCTAAAAATGTAAAATAGTGGTTTTTTTTAGATATACAGACCTACCCAACTTAAAAATTAAGCTGAAGTGTTTTTAACATGTACCTTTTGGTTTTACTGTTTCATAATATTAGAAATTATCAATTCAAGAGAGTTAATCCATTCAGTGAAGAGAAGGACCTAAAGAGGGCCTACAGGAAAGGCAAAGGAGCTTTGTACAAGGGCATGTAGTGATAGGGTAGATTTAGATGAGATATTACGAAAATAATTTTCATTGTGAGGGTGGTGAGACACTGAAGAAGGTGTGGGTGCCTCATTACTGGAAGTGTTCGAGGCCAGGTTGGATCGGCTTTGAGCAACCCAGTCTAGTGAAAGGGGGATGAAACTGGATGTTCTTCAAGGTCCTTTCAAATGCAAACCATCCTGATTCCATGACCTTGGAGAAAAAAAGATAAAGCATATAATTCCACTCCATTGGATGTCTGCAAATTTTCAAGTCAAACATACAGAAGACAAATATAAAAAAACCTATAATGTACATGTAACATACAATCACTGCTGATTTTATCTAGTTTATTTTTTTAATAGAATGTGTTTATCCTTAAATACTTGTAGTTATAGAAAATCAGAATTACTCTAACAATAATAACTACTGGGTCCCAGTGGATTACATTCACTATGACACGTGACACAGGTAAAATTACTGAAATGGTGCAATTTTATTTCAAAAAATGCAGAAAAATTGAACAGAGAAAAAGAATGGTAAGCAACTTTCTGTGCAGGATCAAAAGCAGACCTGATATAAAGAGCAATATGCTCACTCTGTGTGAATAGGCAGATAATAATTTATCCTGAAAGCAAATATTTTACAATCTTTCCTTCTTTAAGTTTCTAAAGAAAGAGTCTCAAATACTAAAAATGTTTCCTTTCATGAGACTTCTGCATAGAAAATCTTCTGCATATAGATGACTAGGTTGATTGTGAAGAAGCAGTGATTTCAGGTGCTTTTAATTTGTACAAAAGTTACCCTGAACAAAGTATATTCAACCAAAAAGGGTATAATTTTTAAGAGGTAATTACAATATTAAGAAAAAAATAGTTTTCAGAATCCACAGGAGTGACATAAGGTGGGTCATTAATGACAAACTATAGTGAAAACATTAAGTACTTAACTATATTTCTATCAGTGATAATATTAATCTCTGTATGAAACATGATATACAATTTTTCTTAATCAAAGATATTATATTAGAGACAGATTAGTGCACTATACAACCTGCATTTATAATCACTTAACAGCAGTAACCCTTACATCTGCTTTACATAAGTATGTGGGAACAGGGACATAGATCTGAATCTTTAAGTATACCTCCCTTTTTCTTAAGGAGTTCACATTGTCCACAGGAAGGTTGTGCTCTCTATCAATGTATCTCCACAAAGAGATTGACAAGAGCTTGACAAGGCCCTGAAATGTGCAATTGCAGCCCAGAAAGCCAAATATATGCTGACCTGCATCAAAGGAAGTGTGACTGGCAAGTCCAAGAAGGGGATTCTCGCCCTTTACGCTGCTCTCATGAGAGCTGACCTGGAGTACTGCGTCCAGCTCTGGGGCATACAACAGAAGGACATGGACCTGCTGGAGTGAGTCCAGAGGAGGCCACACAGATTATGAGAGGGATGGAGCACTTCTATGAATACAAGCTGAGACAGTTCATATTGTTCAGCCTGGAAAGAGAAGGCTCTGGGGAGACCTAGTTGATGTTTTTAGGACTTAAAGGGGACATAAAAGAAAGAGGGAAAGGGCCTTTCTACAAATACACTATGTATTGTATGTAATGATGGGACAGAGGGGAATGACTTTGAACTGAGGGTAGGTTTAGACTGAATATTAGGAAGAAATTTTTTCCTGTGAGGGTGCCAAAACACTGGACTGGATTGCCCAGAGAAACTGTGAATGCTCCGGGCCTGGAACTGTTTAAGGCCAGGTTGAGTGGAGCTTTGAGTAACCTGGTCTAGTGATAGGTGTCCCTGCCCATAGATGGTGGTTGGTGTTAGTAGAACTTGGAATTAGATAATCCTTCTGGTACCTTCCATCCCAAAGTATTGTATGATTCTACGATTCTATAATTCTAAAATAAAAAATTGTTCAGTGTGTTCTCATGGGAAAGAGTTTTGGCAGCTCAAAGCACTATGTGGCACTTACTTGGCATGGCCAAGCTATTTTTCAATTTTTTTTGTGGCTGTGTTCATTCAAGTTGCTAACATCAATTTTTTCTATTGAGTGTTTTAATATTACAGTCTTAATTTTTTAAACAATCTTCTCCATTGATTTTTTTGTACAACATCAAGAACTTTTCTACACAAAGTGTCAAGAAAAAACCAAGCACATGCATCCTTCTGTCCCTTTCCAGATACCGACGCCCTGCTGAATACAGTATTTTTAGGTGGCACTAATTTATGCATCAGTCATGGAATATAGACCATTGGAGGAAAGCCTGAGTGACAGTACGGTTTATAAAAAGAAAAAAAAAAATGCCCTAAGACTCACATTATTTTTTGCAAGAAAGTAGACAAGACTTTCAATTACAATTCCCAATTCAATATAAACAGTCTTTTAAAAATACTTGTTTTGGTTTTAAAGTACACTCTACTCTGTATACTCTCTGTTGTCTTGGAAAACTTGTCACATCACTGAAGATATGTCCACAAATATTTTAAAATTATCAATTACGATTTTATGATTAATTATGATTTTGTATAAATAATGGGGGTTTTATGTTCATGGTTGGAAAACCTTTTGGTAAACTAAGGACCAAGAGTTTTGTGTTCTTTTTCCAAGATTCATGCTATTTGAGGATTTGTATATTACACAATATTAATGATACATTTTAGTTGTCTTCTCTTTCAGTTTCCAGTTTACCACCATAGCGAGGCAAAAAGTAGGTGCAAGTCTTGCAAAGGGGTTTTCAAAATAGAACAAAAGACTTGATCAACAGACACACATTGATCTTACACGTCATAAAAAAATATTAAATACCAAATCAAATACTAACACATTAGATAGTAATCAAATGTACTCCATTTGTCTGGATAGGGCTGTGAAGAGACAGGTTTTGGAACTTGTTTCAAAATAAGATGATGTTTTTTTTTTTTTTCTCTGTGTTCTGAAAATAAAAGATTTATTACACTGAGACTGTTGGAGAGATAAAGATTACTGTGCCTTGCCTCCAAATCTATGAGTGGGCTGCAGTAGGTATTGTAAGTAATGAAGAGTGTAAGGATTTTTCTCACATAGTTACATTTTCCTGATTTCATCAGGTAAGAGAGCAACCAAGCATAAATTTATTTCTGGATATTCACAATCAATAACTTTCAGCCATCAGAGGACCACTTCTTTCTACCAAGTACCATTGTTATTTCAGCTGTCTTAATAGCTCTTATAAAAATGTGTGTATTGAAAAAGGCAAATTTATTAGAAATGGCACAAAAGATTATTTTATCACTCTCTAATAACCCTTTCTTGAAAATGAAAACCAATTTTATTCTATGGTATTCCACCTCAATTTAAAAAAATATCATAATGGAAGAAATTGCAAATACCTCTTTAATTTCTCCATGTAAGGATAAATGCCTACTATGTAGTCTCTCTGAACATCTGAAGATTTTTTTTAATGTTTCCTCTTGTGGCACAATCAAGTAGAACTATTTTGATTAAATAGCTCCCAAGATAATAACAATTATAATGCAACAGACTTGGGAATAGTTTAATCTGAAGTGCACATTGATGTACAGTGTGCATAAAATATCTGTATTTCATTATGTTTGTTTCTATGAGATCTCTATATGAGATGAGTATAACATAGATTTTCCCTGACGTTACTGAATTATAAATAATAAACTGGAAGATAAATTGTTTATTTGTTATGGAACAGTTCTATGAATATTTCAGTAATCTATGCTCTGGTAGGCTCTAGAAAAGGTAATAAATTTAACTCTGCATGGGTATCTTTAGATTAGATTACCAGTAAAATAGACACAAACCAAAATTCTAATATGAAGATGTTATAGTAAAAGTGTTATCATATTCTTGCTTAATTCATACCATAAAATCAGAAAAACTACTTTAGAACAACTGAGGTATCAAATGCTGATAGTGAGAAGGCTGCTATGATTAATCAGTAACAATATGAGGAACAGCCATCCACAATATTCTATATTTCTTACACTTTAAAAAAAAATTATGAGGAAAAAGGCAAAAACAATTAGGTCAAAAATTTGTGCTGTAATATTCTGATTAAGACAAGGTAATGTCTTAATTAAAAAGTGCTTACTTTTGTGAGTTTATTTATTTGTTTATTCTTAATCTGCTTTACTTCCTTTGAAAAATTCAGCATCTTTGCTGTACTTTTCTCATACTACTTTCATGGTTGCTTAAGCTAAACTGTTGTCACATTTCTTACATATACAGATTACTCTTTTAAAGCAGGTATCACAAAATTATATTTCTATTTTGCCTGTTCAGTTGCTTTTAATACAAAAATAAAGAAGCAGTGAGCCAAACTTCAATCATTAGGGTCTGTAAAAATAAAATGAGAAGAAAAATGTTTGTAAAGAGATTTCAAAGAATGAAAAAGCAATATGTAAAATTCTTAGGCACTAGCAAAACATCTTTAATAAATCTTTCATGGTTTTTAGCTAGCTGTCCATAAACCCTTGACTGAACTTTCAATCAAGACTGAAGCAACAGAAGAGACTTTTAAGCACACTCATCAAAAGAATCATTTAGACAATAAGACAGCAGTGAAGAAAACGCAACATAAAACATGTTTTTTTTAATTTAGAACCAGAAAATAAATGATTTAATTTGCCTATTCTATAAGTGTTTATGGGAGGTTCTGTGTACTGCATTGCCCAAATAAGGATTCAATTATCTCTGTAGACTATTGTTAAAGGAAGAAGTATTTATTTTCTTTAGTCTTGTGCTAGTAATATTTTTGGTGCAAATTCTGTCCATAAATGATCATTTAGGAAAAAAAAAAAAGTTAAACTTTTTCCAGGTTTCACATTTCAGGCTCTGGTTTAGTGTTGGAATATTTTAGAAGGAAAATTTAAACCTTGAGATGATAAAATTTAATGATAAAATTTAATGATAAAATTTAGATCTTGAGAACAGCAAAATTAATGCTTCTATGATTGGAGAAGACACATGCCTAAATAATTTTGATAAGTACAATTAAAGAAAAATAATAAATGGAAAACATATTTATCATAGAATCATTAAGGTTGGAAAATGAATATCACTATGTCCACTAAACCATTTTTTTTTAAGTGCCACGTTAACTTGTTTATTTAAACTTCCAGGAATGGTGGCTCCATCACTTCCCTGGGGAGTCTCTTTCCAGTTCTTATCACTCTTTCAGTGCAAACATTTTTTTTGGTATTCGACTTGAACCTCTCCTGATTCAACTTAAGATGGTTTGCCCTTGTCCTATTGCTAGTTGTCTGGGAGAAGAGTTTGAGCCCCATCACACTACTGCCTTCTTTCAGGTAGCTGTAGAGTGTCCACTGAGTTTTTTTTCTCTTAAGGGTAAGCAAACCCAGTTCCCTCAGTATTTCCTCATCGGATTTATGTTCCAGACCCTCAGCTAGTCCATTCCCCTTCTTTAGATTTGCTCCAGCATCTCAGTGTCTTTCTTGTACTGAAAAGTCCAAAACTGACCACTGTGCTTGGGGTGTTGCTCCATGAACGCTCATTACAGGGGGATGATAACGCCCTGGGTCCTGCTGACCACACCACTTCTGATACAGGCTGACATCGACATTCTTGGCCACCTGGACACATGCTGGGTCATGGTGGCTGTTAACCAACACCTCCAGATCCTTTTCCAACAAGCAGCCTTCCACCACTCTTCCCCAAGCCTGTAGTGATACACTGGGTTCTTGTGGCCCATATGCATAACCAACACTTCACCTTTTGGATGTATGTATCCTTGGCCCTTCCTATATTTGATTGCCACTGTAAATCCTCAAAAATCACATAGTCTCATAACATTATCTTTGGATGTCTTTGTATTTATGAAGAATTCAAAGTTAAGGCTATAGCCACCAGGATGTCTGTCATGGCTCTATCTCCAGCCCAACATTTATTACAGAAAAGTGTGAACATAGTAAGTATATATAAGTATATATAAGTAGTTAATTGTTACTCTGCTTTCCAGCTCATACCTGCTTAATCCAGCCAGAGCTGCACTTTGTCTGGGAAGTGCTTTTGGATAGGCTTCACTTTGTGACAGAGGATGTGTACCAATTCAGAACTTTCTGAGATGTATATGAGGACAGAGATATCATGGGTACTGCCAAACAGAGAGAAATCATGGTTATTTAATAAATGGTGAAAATATCCTTATATTTTTGAGACAGTTCCCTTTCTTTTGGATTGGGATGAATAATGAAAGGTGGCAAGTTGTACAAAACAGAACATGAAGAAATGACTACAGTTAAAAGTACATTTCAAAGGAGAATGTGTCAGTTACTAGAAGCATTAGTTTTATCTAATGAAGCAAAACATGACAAATGCAAACATGGAGATTTACTTCAGGAAAAACCCAAATTAAATAGCTATGTTGACATTAAAATTAAGATATCACTCTGACTCCAGAAATAACTAGGAGAAAGGCAATGGCTTGTGAAATACAGGCCAGGCAAATTTAGTGGTTCTCACTGGTCTTAAACTTTGATGAATTGAAATCATTGTTTGGTCAGTGTTTTAACTATCTTGTACATATTTTTTTCATATTAGTTGAACTATTTAAATGGTGGAATTCTTGTTGGCTGAGAGCCCGAGGCTTTTTTCCCCCCACAGGAACTTCATTAAATCTTTTCAGTGCACATGGAGAATTACTCCTTGCTTAGCAAATCCTGTTTTGAAAAGCCTAAGAAGATAAAGTAAGTTTACTTTTACTGTAATGGCCTTCAAGACAATATTTTTTAATACAGCTGAATTTTCTTATTTGCAAAGCATTCTTCAAAATACACAGTTGCAGAAAAGGGATTGAATTCTTCTATACACCTGCAAGATTCACTAGCTTATGCAATTAAAATATTCACAGTTTGTAATGTTCATATGTTATTCAAATTTGATATATTTTAACAGGAAGAGGGAGT